ATTCGCATGGGATGTCCACTTAAGACAATTCGTTTCAATACTACTCGATCTGGATTACAAGAAAGCACACAACCGCGTGCGACTAGTGCTAAAGTTGAATCTGGATTTAGTTTAAAAGCTAGTACAGGAGCAGGGGGGAATTGAATTGGCGCGAAGAAAGTAGCACAGACGGTTGTGTGTGGCCGGAAATAACGTTCATACTGAAAGTAAATTAAAAATTTAGGTTTAAATTGATTGGTTTAAGTTTTAAAAATTTTTGCATACTTTGTGTTTGTCTCCATTTGTATGTTGACTGAAAATTGGATTTACAACAAAGCGGCGATATCCACATTGTATTATTAAAGTCTCTTTCGACTTTATTGGTGCCTCAGAATCGGGCAGCCGCTTAAGCACAACATTCATCACTGACATCTGGTGCTCATGTGGTAGCAAACCATATATGACAAGACCTTTGGTTTGACGAGCTGATATATAGGCCAACCATTTAGTTTGCGGCACATTTATGATGTATATGGTTACATAGGCGCCATGCTAATTAACGATTAAGATTATTAATTAAAATAAATAATATTCAGCGAATATTCTGAGAAAATATTTTTTCGAACTCTCACCTGAAATCCATCAACTTCCTTAGCCTCAGAAATAATTCGACGTTTTGTCCGATCAAAATTTTGAAATTGATAAATGCGCGCATAATCATAAGGTAAATTCTCCTTCACATCCCATGGTGAGGTTCTAATAAATTATAAATGCACAATACATACATGCAAACAAATATGAGTTATAAAGATCTTTTTACCTAAACGATTCTAGACCACGGTATTTTTGGAAGCGATCTCGCGCTTCAACATCTAGTGGTGTATCAATTTCATCCGGCCACAATTCATCGAGACGAGCTTCCTTTATTTTTTTCAAAGTTTCTCGTTCTTCATGAAAGTCCATTTGGAGGTCATATTTTTCGTCATTTATTGCAGCATCTGACACCGATGCTGTTTCCACAAACTCTTCTGTATCTGAATCGGGCTTTTGCATTTCTCCGTCAAAAGATTGGTTTTCGCAAGACATGAACTCATCCTCTTCATCTCCATTACTTTCATCTTCACTACCACTCATGTCACTGTCATCGTTACTATCATCATATTTTGCTTCAACGGCTTCAGCATCTGGGATCCAAGCAGCCTGATATGTACTCCACCCTTTAGGAACACGTTTGACTAACTTAGTTTTCTTTGTTTCTTCTTGTGCTGCTTTGATTTCTTCTTCAGTTGGCCATGTCTGTTCTGCATCCATAGCATCTGGTATATTTTCTTTTTGCAATGTAGTTTGTTTCTGTTGGTCTGCTACTCGAACTTGAACTTGTAAATTTTCAGTCCGTTTACCTAATTTAAAACCATCATGCGTAGAAACTATTTGTTGCATTTGAAAATCTCCCAATCCAGGAATGTGTACAAGAGAATTTTCATTAAGTGGTGCTCCACGCAGAAATCCAGTTACTTTCAAAGTAATATTACCATCTAATTGATTTGACTGAGCTTCAATTTCAATTTTATCACTGAATAAGTGCGGTCTATTTGTTTTATTTGGAAGAACATTCCTTTTTTGTCCACCAATACGACGCATAACGTTGAGACCTTCGGTATTGGTATCCAGTTGCATGATTTTTTCTTTTGGCAAAACCTTTGATATAAATTTCTGAACAGATGCCTTAACATCACAACGTCTTTTAGGGTTTATCGATTCTAAATCCATTAGAGCTACTATTGGTGAGGGTATTCCTTGAGCAGATATCATATTGAAAATCCGGTGACCCCACCGATCAAATATCTCATCTTCTCCCATAGCCGCTGAAGTTAACAGTAAGGTCGTATCGCAAGCCTTTAAGTAATCCAACACTTCTACCTCACATCCTCGGCCTATTGGTGGAATAATGAAAGAAAATCTTTGCTTGAAACGTGGTAGATTAATATAGGTAACTCCAGTGTCTGCCCTTTGTACAACAGCTTCATCATCACAACTCTCTAATATAGCTAAAGCTGATTTAGCGTCAATTTGTTGATGCATTGGCAATATGCAAACCATGAATGGAGCGCTGTGCTGAGTACCTAACTGTAGTTTTTCTAATCTCGCTTCTTCTCGTTTCTTTTTACGTATCTTAAAAAAAAAAATTATTTATAAATTTTAACATTATTATTAACTTGTTTAATATGTAATTTACTTGATTCATTTGGTGCCTACGCTGCTCTCTTCGTTGTTCTTGTTTGTGTTTATGCGACACCGCTTTAAGTGAAACCCGACCCTTCAGTGCATTTTCTATGGCTCCTTTCGATCGATGTCGCCCAGTTTTGTGAGCTTTATTTGTTTGTTTTAGCGGCCCAGGCCGATGAAACACCTCAGACATTTTGTAAAATTATTGTATATACCAATAATTCAAACAATAAGAAACTTGAAATATTTAACAAAATACCATGTGTTTCGAATGAAAGCACGTTCACTGGAAGAGACAAGTGTCAAAAAACAAATTGTCAAATTGACACATATTGTGACAGCGTACAAATATGCCATATGAGAGTTTTTATTTAGCTTAATGTCAGAAAGGGATTTTATGTGAACGTGGTTAGATTTATCTATTCGACATAAGATACTATACTATAGAAACTTTAACGAACATTTTTGTTAGCGTTCTTGAGAAAGCGTGACAATTCATACTAGAACAATAAAAATATGAAAGTTACCCAACATTATACTTGGCTGCGCGTCGAAAACTTTTTATAAGAACGTGCTTACATATGCATATAAAAGTGTACATCGAACTTTTCTTTCTTAACAATTCATTAAAGCATATGTCAGAAGGAACGCTTGGCTATCCGTGTTTCACTGTAAAAAAATAGCGACTGCTGTTGAGAATAGTGTAAAGAGATGAAGTTGTCAAAATGTTGCTTCGCTTTGCTTTGCGCCGCTTTAGTGTAATCTGTTAGCTGTATTCATTGAATTTCAAATAATTCTGCGGATCCGCTTTGGCTAAATAGTACATACATACATAAGTACAGACACGCTTATATAAGCTAATTTTGATTTCAAATGTAACAGAAAAGGAAAATATTTTAGGTATTTTCCGTCTAACGTTTGTATCATATTGATCCCAAAAATTTAAAAGATAGTTAATAAAGCTTTGAATATTTATTTTATACATTTAATTGTTTCAGTTGTTTTCTTTTAATTAATAACTTTTTTTGGCAAGTAATTAAGTACGTATGTACTAGTGATAGTTCCCAGTTACCTCCGTGTCTACATCGATTTGCACTGTGCACACATTGTGCGTGCTTGTGTATTATCTCGTACGTAATCGTGAACATTGAATTTGCCATCATCGCCATTGACGGTGCCACGACACTTCAATTGCCTGGATATAAAAAAGCAAAAGTGTTTGTTCTAAACTTGTCTAATATAATCACCAAAGCTGATGTTATAAATTAGTTTTAAACTTTTAAATACTGAACTTTTCCATTTTTTATATAACTCACCTGGCCACAGCAGAGAAAGCAAGTTCTACATTCAATCCTGTTTTTGCCGATGTTTCCATAAAGGGGACATTGTGCTCACGTGCTAGACGTTCGCCATCTTCACGTTTCACTTGTCGTTCACTATTGCTGCAGTCTGCCTTGTTACCTATATTGCATACATATATTTTCATAATATATTATAATGTATTTAGAGTTATGAGATCACAGTTGATAATAATGGAGAGGGGCTAATATTATTTCTTATATGACATAGCCCATATGGATTGAGGTTGTATTGCAACCATTTTTTTTATATTTTAGTTTTAGTCCTTAGGTACTACACTAAATACACCTATCTGAATTTTCATACAGATTGGTCCATATCATTTCTTCCTACATCGGACTACTTTTTTTCTATGTTCATGTAAAGTTTTATCTCCATATGTCAATTAGTATGTATTTGGCAACGGATTCTCTACTACTACTTCAACATCTGTACATACATATATGCCCATGATTGCTTCTTAACGAAATTTGTGAGCTATGTACGTATATTATTGAAATTAAGAAATAAAAAAAAATATGCTTTTGAGACAAAAATTATTAAAAATCGAACCAGTACTTGCATTCTGCGAAAAACAGCGTAGGGTCTCAACATCTATGATGGATTTACTTTCAAGGCTACAACCGCGCCAAAAAATCGGAATCTTTTGCAAAAATTACATTGAGTAGAGGTCTCAAAAGATGTGCTTGCTGAGAAGCCAACTACTTGTACTTATAATGCTACTCACATCGTGTTATTAATATGATATCAAAACTGCTCAGCATAATAGTATATGGCACTCCAAAAATGTACCGAAACCGAAAAAAAAAACTCGTTGAAGATACCGAGAGCCATCGCAGGACGATAACAAGTAGAGAGTTATAAGACAAACTCGACTCGTCAACGCTTCATGACATGCTTGTATTGACTCGGAAGCCTATTTTGTGGGTGATAATAAGGATTTGCGTAAATTTTTTTTTTTTCAGTCCGGGTCAAATTTGATCAGATGGTATACTTAGCACTTATGGGTAGAATCAGTCTGTTATAAATAAAGTTTGTATATTTTAAGGAAGAAGTATTAGATGCAAAGTAAACAAACTGAAATAATCACCCTATATGTACACATTTACATTTCTCCTTGGCTAAATTAAAATTAAATAAAAACGTATAATATATGTATATATGGATATGTATATATGTATTTTAATACAAACCAATAAGCACAATCACAACATCGTCCTGAGTATAATCTCTGATCTCGCCCAGCCAAGCGCGAATGTTGTCGTAAGTAGTTTTATTGGTGACGTCATACAAGAGTAGAAGTGCTACGAACAGTAAAATAAAAAATAATAGTGTATTTAGTGTAATAAAAAATAATAGTGTATTTTTATTTTCGAGTTGAATTTTTATAATCTTCTGAACTCACCGTGGGCATCGCGATAATAGGTGTGGGTGACGCTGCGAAATCGCTCCTGACCAGCTGTGTCCCAAATTTGCAATTTGACGCGTGTGCCATCCACAATCACAACTTTGTTCTAGTGATTGCAAAAATGTGTATAGATAAAAAGCTTAGACATGTACAGTTATATACAATATACATACAATAATACATACGTATATGCTGTTTACTTATAATAGAAATACATATAAATTATATTATTTGTTCTAAACACTGCTGGAGGTACACACATGGTATTGAATACAGGATTGGCAAACAAAAGCAGTATACATTAACGTCAACGAAAACTGAATTAGTAAAAAAAGGGACTCGCATATATGCCATTAAATAGCACTTTGGCTTAATTACACACGATATTTACATATATGACATTCACACCCTGTATTTAACAACTGATCAATTTTGAATCGGTAAAAATAAATAATGAAGAGCCCGGGTCAAATTTGATCAGATGGTATATGTAAATTCATAGAACACTTACAGAAATATTATATATGAACTACTTGTTACATAATTTTTATGTGGTTATAGATATCTTATAAAATTCTTAAAATTATAAGTCGTCGGTGAAGGATTTGTTTCATGTTAACTTTTTTTTTTTAATTATATAAGACGGCGGTCCGACAAGTATTTAATATCATCGCCCGAACACAAATTACTTTTTTTTTTGATAAAATAATGAAAATAGTAAAATAAAAAACTTTAAAAGCTATTCGCTGACTCTTCTATTTTGATGGCGACCCTTACGACTTGGACGGTATGTGCCGATTTGTCATCAAATTGCAGAAAAACTTCTCATGTGACAAAGTGAAAAGATTTAGGAGTTGAATAAAAGCGTTGTCACGAAGATGTATTTTTTTAAACCTAGAGAAAATGTATTTATTAGAAGGGTTAATAAGTTTAAATTTCCCTTCCTTGAAGGCTAAGTACTTAACAGATCTCCCTCGTATACATATTTAAATAAAAAGCTATTAATTATTTTTAATTAATAATCAAACATATTACAAATACACAAGAACAAATAATAGAACTTTAATCAACTACCTAGGACTGTTAGGATCTTTAAAAAATATTAAACTTGCTATATTTAAGTGATGTTAATTGAAGAAAATACAAACTTTTCTATAATTTATACCTTTGAGTTTTTTTTTTATAAACGAAAATGAAATCATTTAAGCGATTAGCATATTTTTCGATTCAATTTATTTTGTGCCAAATAATTTCTTTCACTGGCTATCTATACATATGAGATAAAAAAAAAATATTAAAAACTTCTTTATACACTATCTAATCAAATTTAACCCGGATTGGTTCATTTCACTGTGCTCGCAAACTGAATTAATTAATATTTTTTTCCTACGAGTCATCCGTCCGTGTATGTAATGACGATAACATCAACTACATCTCAAGATCCCTTATGGATTGACTCAACTCATTATTAATATTTTGGGTATGAAGCGTATCAATGCTAGAGATGTTTGACAAGGTAGCTGAGGACCCTACATACATCAAACGCGTCACTAACATACTTGTTATGTGGCGTGGGTTTATGAATACATATGTACATCTTCAAAACTTTTTAACTATATAGCGAATGGCGCTTCTAAAATGAACCGGAACCGAAAACAATTGCTGAATTCGCTGAGGGCCACCCAGCCAGGTTTTGCAAAATATATATGGAAAGTTGGATTAACCGTTGCCATGTTTTCATTGGCTCAGCAATTCAAACTTGAAGGCGATAACAAAGACTTGTATTAAAATACGTGAAAATTAAACAATTTTTTTTTGTTAGTCCGGGTCAAATTTGATAATATGGTATATGAAATTGCAAAAGTTTACTGCTACAACCTTTGCAAAATAATTTAAAATTAAATGTTGGAGCTCGCATTATTCGACAAACACGTATACATGGCGTATGAGTAACCAATCATCATCCAATATGCGTTTTATATGAAAAATCTAATTTCAGATATGTCCATATACACCATAAGCTCTGAAATTGAAAGTCATGTTAACGTGTAGCATTATACATATATGCATAACGACTCAAAAGGTTAGGTCTACGGTCATTCAGCAGTTAATTCTACCATTTTTAAGTCATTCATTTTAACATTTATGTATGTAATTGCTTATAATTATCATATCATATCATGACAGGCTTAAAATATTTACTACTGTATACATATTAAAATTAGAACATAGATACATACATACGCGTAAAGAGGAGAACACACAAATAGGTACGTACACTAAAGTTAAGAAAGACACGCGTGCAACAGTTTTGTCCATTTGACATCAGCCCTGATGACAGTTGACAGAGCCGTTTCTTACCCTATAATCAATGCCTACTGTAGTTATATAATAGTGTGGCATATATTTTCCATCATAAAATCGTATGAGCAGACACGTTTTTCCAACACCAGAGTCACCCAACATAATCACCTATAGAGCAGCAATTCATGGAGAGTAAAATGAAAAACAGACAAAATAAGTGTTATAGCTTTGAAGTGTTTGTGAAATGTTAATGCGCTTTAGAGACTTCAAGTTTCTCAATGAAAAAATATTTGATGAATAGCTCTCATGGAGGGGCGATAAAATATATTTTTCGAAAACAGACTCACTGTGAGCCAAAAGCTCTTGAAAGGTGGTCTAGTCTCTTTCTTTTCTCATAATATTTTATATAGAGTTTTCTATGTTTTAATAGAAATTTATTGAAAAAGTAACTGCGAAATCAAGTGGTTTTCCTATATGTAGGATGGATGGTTGTCATATACAGACCCCTACACCTTTTTTGGAAATAAATTGTTCTGCAGTAAGTTTTATATTATTTTCGTACTTTTATTTTGAGAACTTTGAAGCCTTTGGGAATCATAAACCGAACGTCAATATCTGATTTAAGCAAATACAAAATCTTTATATTATGAAGACTTTCTTAACTCCATATAAGAATTTGAGGCATCATTATTGTCTTAGCTGACTCCTCTTAGAGATGAGTGAGAGTATTCGATTAATGCTTTTATATTCAATTTCGTTCTTAAACCATTATATGAAAAATGGTAATGTTTACCTTGGACATTTATACAGGTTACGAAAAAGTAAGCAAAAAACAGGATTCTTTGACATCACCTTTCCCATCATGTCGTATTCCTCCTCACCATCAGTATAGGTCTTGATGTTGCTGGTTGGTGGCGCCACATGAACATTCGGCTGTGTACCCAATGAAACCATACGCATTAAAGCACGCCCTGCTTGTCTACAAAATGTTGCACCATCCATAGATCTGGAGAAGTTAGGACATGCAGCAGTCGTATCGTGAGCGTTGTCAGTCCTTGATAGCTCCCCAGTATTGTGCATCATCAATCCGAACGATCGTGTCGATTGTGTCAAACTACTCCTGCGCCGTGCCGTTAAACTACTGTCGGCAGTCGGTTTTAAATCAGCACTGGCAATGGTGTGATGTCGCGTAATTTTTGTGTTACCACTATTTTTGTTGCCTTTGAAACAAACGCCACTATGTAGACTGGTACGTCGCAATTGTTGTAACGGCTTCGTGGGTAATTGCAACTGCTGCTGTACTTCCCTCTCCTGGTAGTAGTGATGATGTTTAACGATACTTGGGCGTCGCAGATATTCATCATCTTCATCGTCTGAGTCTGATGTGACATTTATGCTTTTGCTGGGCGAATTTGTGACATCCGTGCTGGATTGCGACTGCCCGGGGATATTATATTGCCATGTAGGCTTGTGTAGGGACTCACGCCGCGGTATGTCAGCGCTGTCATGATCGGTGTCATCGCTTTGTGCACGTGTACTTATTGGCATTTTTGTGGTAGTTGATGAGCTGCCTACTGGCACGGAAGTGGGATGAGATGTGGGGTGGGAAGTGGGCTGACTGACGCGGCACACACTTGACGTACGGCGCATTGTTTGTATGCACTAAGAAGATGTTGTGATTGATGGCTAGTAATTAAATTACTCGGCGAAGGTTTGGTCTTTTTGTGCTTGTGTTCTTGATTTCGTTTGCTTTAACCTATTTTTATTATTGACGTTTTTCGGTGTGAGTTGGTTTTGTGAGTGATTTTTTAATTATAATATATTTATGTATGTACATTAGTTAACTTTTTTGCTGCTTTTGTTATGTTAAATATAGATTAGTTCTAGATGTTGGTTGGGAATATATAGTAAAAACACTTTGACGTTGGTAACGTCGTATTCTAACGAATACGGCTTAATCTGGATCTTCTAGTCTGCACCTTGACGTTGTTGGGTGGAGGTGGACCTACAAGTTTTTAGTCAACTTCGAGGAACTATCTGATTTTCTGAGAAGCTCTTTATTGTAGAAACGTACATAAACTTTTTCACAAATTAGTCAAAGATCAATCGTTATTAAAATATGATATTCAGGAAAATATTCTGTGAATTTCAGTATTACATTGCACAGATTGATCGATATTTTCGGTATAAAGGTATTGCGGTCCACATATTCGAAATTTGAAGTCCTATTTCGGGAAGATATGCCATATTTTGAACATACTATTTGTACAAACATTGCACTGATGTCGCCATTGGCGCTTGATTTATAGCTATACTGTAAATTGAAAGAATAAAATGAAATTTTAAACTCTGATATCCAGAAAAAGGGTGTTTCCACAATCTGTGCCAACTTCTTTGCATAAGCCTCCTCAACATCGCTTATAAGGATCGGTATAGCGTACTGTATACGAGATTAAAACCTACCGTCAACACACTGATAGGGTGGCTTTAACCCTGGAAAGTCACCAATTGACCAGATATTCACAATGTGCCGAATTTTGGGAAAGATCCGTGAAAAGAGGATCGACACACACTACCTCTTCGTCGATTTCAGAAAGAAAAAGGAGCTGCCTTAATTCCGCTATGTACGAATCTGGTATATCTGCAAAACTAATATGGCTGTGTAAACTGCTGTTGAGCAATACCAAAAGCTCCATCAGGATTGGGAAGGACCCCTCCGAAACGAAGGTTCAGGCAAAGCGACTCCCTATCGTGCGACTTCAATCTACTCCTGGAGAAAATAATTCGAGCTGCGGTTCTGAGTAAAGAAGGTACAATCTTCTATAAGATTGTACAGCTGCTGGTGTACGCCAATGATATTGATAAAATTCACGTCAACAACCGCGCCGTTAGTTCTGCTTTCTCCAGATTGGATAAAGAATCGAAGCGAATGGGTCTAGTAGTGAACGAGGGGCAAGGTGAAATATCTCCTGTCATCAAACGGACAGTCGTCGCACTGGCGACTTGGTTTCTACGTCACTGTCGTCATAACTTTGAAGTTATGGATAATTTCGTCGATCTTGGAACCAATATCAACAGCAACAACAAGGACAGCCTCGAAATCCAACGCAGAATAACTCTTGACTACAGGCGCTACATCAGACTGAGTATGCAATTGAGAAGTAAAGTGCTCTTTCGTCGAGCAAAGACCAAATTCTACAAGTCCCTCATCACCCCGTTCTGTTATATGGTGCAAAAAATGTCTGATGAGTCGACATTACGAGTTTTCGAGATAAAGGTTGTGTAAAAGATTTATGGTCTTTTGCGCGTCGGCCACGGCGAATATCGCATTCAATGGAACGATGAGCTGTATGAGATATACGACGCCTTTAAAAGACATTTTCATTCTTGCAGAATATCCACTATTAGGATAGCTTATAAAATTCAACAAATAAAAGCGACTACCAACACCTCTGTCGAAGGTTAACTGAAATCCGTGTAGACACCAGATAAAAATGTTGAAAGTATTACTAACATGTAAAAAACTATTCGTAAGAATATGTTAATTGTTTAGAAGAATGGAACTTGTGGAACTCTTCAATTGTCGAAACACGATCACAGGTCTAACAAAGTTAGCTGTTTATCATTACTTGATTATTGTTGTTGTAATAATTTATGAAATTCCTTGAACACTAGACATAAAGCCCTTACAATTGTTGAACAAATAAAAGCTTATCTCAACTTGATTTATCACACTAAACGCGCACTAACAAATTATTATTTGAAACTAAGTTCAGCAGTAACATAATAGGTACTTATCAACTTAGTGCTTATTTTATTTACAATATCAAATAGCTACACAAGTGTAGTATTTTATCAGTTTCTCTTGTATACATACGCAATATAATCAAACAAACAAAACAAGTTAGTGAACAAATTATGCACATAATCTTTTCTACTCATTAAGCTATCGCCGTAGATTTTCGCAATATTGCCATGACATCCGCCTTCGCAACGCTGCTCATAGTTGTGAAGTGCGTCCCAGGTAGTAGGTAATCAACCGCTGCGCTTCTCGCCAACCACTCTCCACCGCGCCATGCACCGTCGAGTAGAAATGTGTATGTGTCGCTTCGCCAGCGAATTGTAACAACGGTTTACCGTCGCTGTCAGCGGTAAGCGGTGCTGCTAAATCCCAACCACCTGCGCGCAACTCGTCGGCATACACGGAACGAAATGTATAACTACCGCGGAAATTGGGATTGGTGTACCAGCGTGTGCGTAGAAATCTCAATGGCGACGGCACCGCAAATGTGAAGAATTTCTTGAAGAGCCAAAGCAATGCTTTAAGTACCTCGGCTTCGGCGAGAGTTTCCATGTGACGAGCATGTGGTCCAATAATCCAACCTTGTAGTATGCGCGGTTGGCAGGAGACACGATAAAAGCCGAACACGCTTTCCAACCAAAAGTACTCAGAGTTGCGCAATTCCGCCAAATCATCGTCGCGCCAAAGAAAACAAAAGCCCGACCAATCGACTGGTGCGAAAGGTTCAGTAAATTCTAGGAAAAACTTATCGACTGTACCCAATTTGAGACCGTCAATGGCGCGGGATTTAGCCAGCGGTAGTGCAGGTGTAAACATTTCCTTATGGTTTTCCTTGAGCACACCCAAAGATACGGTGCAGATGACATGATCCGCCTCGATTAATTCACCGTTCCAAAGACGTATGCGCACGTCACCGCTTTTCGTCCGCCAATCAATGTTTTGAACGCGCGCATTGAATTGTATGCGCTTGTTTAGTAATCCCATATCGTCCGTCGCTGTTTCATCCTTCTTCGCTTGCATTAGTAGACGCAGAAAACTGCTAAAACCTTTATCTTTCCAGTTTAACAGTAGGTCCCCTTCACATACCCAATATTCGAGATGACCTTGGCCGGAAACTTCGAAAAGGTGATCTGATGCTTCTATTGAACTTTCGAATTTCTTGTAGTTTTCGAAGAACTCGCGCGCCACAGTCTTATCAATTTCCGGCGACTGTTGCAAATCGCGCCAAAATGCCTCTGTCAGATATGTGCCTAAGGAGCCTTCATAGCCCTTCAAGCCCTCCTGTCGTTCGGGTAACAAATTAAAGGCGACCGACTTGAGCGTATTTGCGACTGTTTCGGAAAGCACTTCCTTGTTGGAACGCACGCATTTGTAGTCATCGTATATGTCACCTGTTGGCTGTAGCATACCCAAATTGCGCACCGTCTCAAAAATGGCATTACCTTTTTCACCGTGACACCATTGTGCGCCCAAGTCGACTACGTTGTCCGCAAAGGGTATGGTGTGTACGCGTCCGCCATAACGATTTTCAGCCTCGAGCAGCAGAACATTTTCGAATCCCGACTGTAGGAGCCTTGTGGCTGCAGCTATACCAGCAGAGCCGGCACCAATAATTACAATACGCGCAGATTTCATTGATTTCAACTTTGATGTCTTTTGCCCGCTTGTTGTTGTTGCTGCCGTTGACATAACTTCTAGCCGATGGCAAATGGTCTTGTTTTTGTCAGTGTCTTCGTGCACTTTCTTTTTGTTTCGTATTATCTCACGTAAATGGTATGAAACTATCTCTTTGCACGCTCTATTTCGGTTAGTTGTGCGTTGAGCGAGCGTTTTGTCACACACACGTCTTATAAAATCGGCGTTCGCTGAGCAACTAACTATTGGCACCGTCACTTGGTCATTATCGTAGCTCACACCACCAGCTGTTATGCTTATCCGGTCGAGGGTGCTGATAGTGGTGGCGATAGCGCTCACAAGCGTGTGTGAGAGCGTTGGCCATGCGACGCGAATGCATTGAATATTCAGCAACTGGCGAGTGCAGCAGCGTATGTGTGTCATAATAAAAATATTTTTGATTGGAAAAATTTGTTGTTTGTTTAAATTTATATTTCTTAACTTTTTGTTTGACATTGAATAAGTTTAGGCTTAGTTCTCACAATGCCGATTTGAGTTCAAGATTCAAAAACGTCATCGATAAACAGTTTGCGGTCCGTTTAATAATAACAGTTGATTTCACGAAGTTCAAAAAAAGCCTACTGTGAAATGAGTTCTAAAAACAACTAATGTACTCACTCATTCGATATAAGAGCTCAGATCGCCTAAAATATAATATAAAATATAGATCCTTCTATTGCACTTTTGAAATAAAATTAGTATCAAAAGATCAAGTGTGGTTAAAGTAAAATTTTTCGAAGGTATCACTTTTTCAAATAACATTTGTAGAACTTTTCATTTTCAGACCCTTGATAAACAACACAAGACGTAATGATGACTTTAAGATAAAAAGTAGTGTGACCGTCAGAGTATAGACGTTAGAAATGTTTCGACCAACATCATTCAAGTTTTTGTAATGAGCAGGTACGAAGCAAAACGTTCTACAAAACATAAGTAGAAAAAGAGAACTCTGAACTAATAGCTGCGAAACGCTATATAGTGGGAGAAACGGCTGATTTGGTGGGATTTTATTAATACATCACGCTATTTTTGTTCGTACAATTTAGTATTGTAGATAAATATGCCTAAAATGAAAATTACAAGTAGAATAGCATATTTTTATTTGTACGTATTTTAATTTTAATGGCGTCTGAAGAGATATAATTTAAAAACAATCCCTCTAATTCTTTATTGAAAATAAGGCTGATAATAAGAATATTTTTATCTATTAGTTCATCCTTCGAGAAGTGGAAGCTTAATCTTATTACAGCATCGTAATGCATGGTTCTGATGGAAAAAACGATTCTGCCATCGTGTTTTTTCGTAATTTATTTTCGAGTTTTGTTTAAGTGAAGTTTTCGAAAGTATTTATTTGTGGCTTCCTAGAGCTTCTGCTGACATCTTACCTATCGGAAGGGCAACTTGTTTTATATGTACATATATATTAACTGGATTTATTATTGATGGACAAACGTGTGCATATAACTCCATGGAGACTAGTACTGGCCGCAGTTATGAGCGGATGATGTCGGAAACTTTTCAGCACTTCAGTTAAGGTCCATCCAATTAGCCAAGTTCGCTTAGTATAACTCTTATAAGAACTATTTCCAGCAGTGAGAAAATGGATGAAATTAGATGATAACCCTGCCCACTCTCCATATAATGTGACTGTTAAAAAATAATAAACGATGGATTAATAACTAAATATGCTAAAGATATTTAATTTTACACTAGATAAAAATTGAACGATGTTTGCTGCACCGTTCACTTTTAAATAAAATCACATATCTCAGAACCTACTCGACCGATTTGAACCAAATTTAGTACGTAATATTTTTCTAACACTTCTATATCACAGTGTGAGAATGGGTGAACTCGGAGTACAACCGGACTATAAAACATAGTTTTAAATTCCATCTGATTCTTTCCATTCCAGTGTACATTATCAAGAAGGAATTAATATAACGGTAATAAGTGGAAGAGGATTATCTCACAAGGCTTCCTCTTAACCTGAATACAATTAAACTATGTAATCCTGCACTTTTCTTCAAGTTAACAAGTCTTACTGTTATATACTCATACTTTATGGTGCTGCTGCCTCTATTC